CCCTTTTTTTTCTTCTTTTCCCCTCTAGATTCCTTGATTAATAAATATTTTCCAGCCTGCTCTGTTAACACATTGTTTTGGGGCTATTACTGTTCCAGTGAAGTTATTTCTGCTGTTAGACCTGTAATTGACAGTTACACCAGTATAACTTAACAGAATCATAGAATGGTTTGGGTTGGAAGGGACCTTAAAGATCATCTAGTTCCAACCCCCTTGCCATGGGCAGGGACAGCTTCCACTAGACCAGGTTGCTCAATGCCACTTCCAGGGATGGGGCAACCACAGCTTTTCTGGGCAGCCTGTTCTGGTACCTCACCACCCTCAGAGCAAAGAATTTAAACTTTCAACATCAGAGTGCAACTTCCAAAAACTTGATAATACATGTGCAAAGATTTCAGCATTAACAAAATAATTATTTGTATTTGGTTAAGTTTAAAAATAAAAAAGAAGATCTTGTATATAATCTAGAAGAAGCAGGCCCTCATCTCCCTTTCCCTCCAGGTCTATGTTTGGAATTAGTTTTGAGGAGGAATTTTTCTTTGAGCATAAAAGTTGCTGTAAGGCATAGGGGATGATCTGTGTTACTGGCTGTAGAAGTTTAGCATTTCATGTTGTTACTTCAGATTTGTAAAGCTCTTTGTGAGGCTTAATCGTTTATTGTGAGTTGCAGCTCTGTATGTAGAAACTTGAAAGATTATAAAATATCTCGCACCCCTGCCCCCGTGGCTGGGGCATTAGTTCTTGCTGAAATGCAGATGGCTGTGCCTAAACCATTCCCATCTCTTGCTTGAGAGATTAGACCCCCATCTGGGTAGAGAACAAAGTGCTTGTTCTCATAGCTGGGTTGTGGGTTTTTTTTTTTTTTTTTTTTTGTATAAGAAAGGTAATGTAGTGGGCCTGAAAGCCAGCATATCTGCTGTCCATGACTTGATGTAACTAATTCTATAATTAGTTATTTAACGCCCTTGAAATGAGCATACTATCAGTTTTTAGTGTTCAGCATTTCCTGGTCAGTTCTGTATCTGAACAGTAATGTGCTCTGATGTAAGGGTTGTGGTCAGCACTACTAATCTAGCTAGCTACTCATTACTGAATGCATTAGGATCCACGTTTTTTGTTTGCAGACACACTGCTTCTGGAGTATGTATGCTATTTTGGCTTTTGGTTGTGGGTATCCAATGTTGAGAGCTGGCTTTCATGTATTTGATCATGTGTTTGATGCTTGAATAGACCTATTCTCAAGATGGAGTTACTGAGACTGTCTGGACAAGTGGATCTTCAAAAAGTGGACCTCTGCAGACATTTTCTAGGGAGTCTTCAAGAGTGTCAAGAAGAACACCAAGGAAAAGGGTGATGAGAGGCTTATTATAATAGACAAGCTTTTTTTTTTTTTTCTCTCGCTGTTAGGGTCCCGGTGACTATTATATTCAATTGTTTTCTTTTGTTTGTTTTAAACAAACAGGTGGAAGCTACAGCACAGGTGCCTGTAGATGATGCTGTAATATCAGAGAGTACTCCCATAGCTGAAACTATATTGACTGCAAGCAACGAGAGCCTAGTAAATATGCTTAATAAATCATGCAAGTGGTATTCTTCTCTAGTGTATCTTTACTGGCAGAATCATTCTGTTTTGAGCAGATAGACTGTTTTAAGGAAAGTAAGACTATTCAGTTGTCTTTGAAACCACATTTTCAGTATCTGTACCTAATGCTGTTCACTTTGAGAAGGGACTAGGTAGGCACTGAGGTCCTGTCTAATGTCTTTTTGGGGGGAGGCCTGAGAAGAACCACTTTAAAAAGTTGGATCTTTTCTTAGTTTAAGTACATGCAGAATATCTGCTTTTAAATTTGGCTTTTCTTGTGAACTAAATAGCTTTTATGTTTCTAAATGGCTTAAAAGAAACTACTTGGAATGATAAGCAGTGTTTCCTATGCTTATTTCAGAGTATCTGTTACATAACCTTCTTGAGTTAACTCCTAACATGCATATATTCAGTGCGTTTTGTTGTATGGTTCTGCCCCCTTCCCCCCTTTTATTTTGTATTTTGGCTGATTCTGAGTTTGAACAATTTTGAATCTTGGTAGGTTGTCAATAGGGTGACTGGAAATTTCAAGCATGCAGCTCCTACACTGTCAATCAGTGAACTCTCAGACATGCCCAGAAGAACACCAAAGAAGCCACTGATGACAACTGAAGTAAATAAATTAAAACTTAGACTGTTCGTGCTTATTCTCTGTGAATGAGATTCTTGTGTGTATGTGCTTACTCCTTAGGACAGAAGGGGTGGAGGATGCCACTGCCTAGTGGCACTAGTCAAAATAGTTGTCACATTGCATAAAATAGAGAATATTACTTTATTTTGGCGGGGTGTGTGTGATGGAAATACTGCTTCCCTTCCCAGCCAAATATGTTGTGGTATGGTATTTCTCCTTGTGCTGCTGTTCTGTAGAAAATTTAGATTTTTTTGTTTTCTTAATTCTTTGAATCACTTAAATACAGAGCAGAATTGGGTTAGCTAGCTTTTGATCTTTTAAATTGGCCTGTCCTGAAAAGCCACAATGTGCTTTAATTTAGGGAGTCAAATAATAAAATTACTTAAAGCCTGAATTTAAAGAGTCTGTAGATTCCTATTATAATTCTTTTACTGTTAACCAATTCAAGCTCTCAAAATCCTACATCTCTTGGAGAACTGTCTAAAGCCCTTGCAAATACATGTAATTGTACTTATGTAGTACTGTAATGTTGTAGAATTTTGCATTGTGAGATAATTCTTGGCTGAATTTAAATGGAGTTCATTGTTTTGTGGAGTTACTGTAGATAAACCTATTGACACTTGTGAAGCCTATACTACCAAAGGGTCTGAGGTTTATGAAGTTGGTTGCTTTATTTGTTTATAATGTGCCTGGAATGTAGACTTAGTTGTCAGATAGAAGGTTGGGGGAAATCTTGATGTTCTATTTCAAACTGCGTAAGTGTGTTTTTTCCCAGTTAGTGTTTTACTGTACTGTGGCATTGTTTATTACAGCAAGAAGAGACAGATTGCCCACATCAGTGCTTTTTTAATCATGTTAGCTACAACCAGTCTTGTGATCTGCTCAACACAGCCATGATAGAGGTGATGGTTAAGTTTTTTTTATCATCTGCATAATTGGCTGGCAGGTGTATTGTATTTGTACAAATATTCTTTATCTTAAAGGAAACTGAGGAGAGCACTGAATGCTTTGAGACACCAAAAGTGACCAGACAGCTGCCACGTACAAAGGTTAAACTAACTAAAAACCCAAGAAGTAAACTTCTTGAATGTCACTGGGTGACTCATTCATTCTTACAAATTGCACATGGTTGTGGTCTCTGAGGTAGCTGTGCAGGAGCTTTTTGGTTTGCAGTCTGTTGTGCCTATAACTGGTTTTTGTTTCCTAGGTGCTGGAGAGAACTTCCACAGAAGAACAAAAGGTTGAAAGGGATATTCTTAAGGAAATGTTCCCTTATGAAGCATCAACACCTACAGGAATTAGGTATTTCTAAGTTTTATGGGGGTTTGTTTCTCAGTTTTTGTAAACCTGTTTAAGCTGAGAAGTGTCCTTTTGATTATATTGGTGAATTTCTGAGGAGCAGTTGTTGCATTCTGGCTCAGTGGCAGTTGAGATGACTGCCTAGCTCTTTTGTTCTGTAGACATAGCTCTGTTAGCCACAACAGCTTCCTCTTTATTTAAATTGGGGATGGGAGAACAGGGTGGTACTACAGTAAGAATTATTATTGGAAGTGCTGGATGCTGGAAGTTAAATGGAAAGGGCTTCTTGGTGGTAATGGCTCATAATATTGAAGCATGTGGCTAGATGCAATTGCTTTAGGCCTGCTTTTAAATTAAGGGAATATCTCCCAGTATAGATTTGAGCTTTCCCTTTGAAAGCCAAAAAGAATTTTCTAGAACCCTATTTTTTCCTTTAAGTAGCAGTCCTGTTGTAGTCAAAGGTCATTTGTAGCATGAATAAGGATGGCATCTAGGAAGGGCTATTAAATTTTTCTTTGCAACCTTAGATTTAAACAAAAATTAAAAACAACCCTCTGGATAATGAAGCAATTCAAAACTCTGTTGTGTTTAGAGAATGTGAGAAAAAGTTTTCCTATGTTAAGATGTGAAATCAACTCCCATTTCCAACATGTTAATTACACCTTCAATTTAAACTGCTATTGCATAAAGTCTTACCATAAGGAGAATGTATGGTACTAGTTACTATTGCTGTGGTGTATCTGTTCACCACTCAGCTTTGCTCTCTTGTGAGGTCTGTTGGTCTAGTTAAATTTATGACACTTTTTAAAAATAAAAAATGATGCACGTGTACTCCTTATATACAAGGACTTGGCAATGTATGTGGGTTTCCTAACCCTTGCTGGTTTGTCTTCTGGCTCTGTGTATTGGCTTAGCCATCAGTAGATATTTTAATGGCCAAGGACAATTTTAGGTTTAGAAATCCCAGTGCGGCTGCATAAGTGATCATTAAAGATGCAGAAAGAGAGGAACACTTCCTAGACATGCTAGAGTTTTACTGCCAGTTATGATCCATTGATTATGTGGATAGGGTAAAATAATGTGGGATTTGAGTGGTGTTTTTTTTTTTAAGGGGTTTTTCTTTGAACACTGATTAACTTTCAAACTCTGTCTATCATTACTACTTTTAGGTATTTCAGGTACTGCATTCACTAGAAGTAATTTTTAGTTCTTTAATTACACTAAAATTTTCCTGCATACCTCAGATTGCTCTTTTAAATATGCAATTTTTTTTCTTAATTAACAGTGCTAGCTGCCGTAGACCAATCAAAGGAGCTGCTAGCCGGCCTATAGAGCACAGTGACTTCAGAATGGAGGAAAGTTTCTCTAAGTATGCTCCAAAATACAGTACCTCAACTGACACCAAGTTGGAGAAACCACCAATAAAAAAAGAACGCTCCGTTCCCTTGTGGATGAAAGTTCTTCTCTTTGTTGCTGTTTTGGTCTTCTTGGGTTTGGTTTATCAGTCTATGGAAATTAATCAAGGAAATCCTTTCTCTAAATATCTGAATACTACCTCTCAGGACAGTGCCAAATGAGTACCTTTCCAAAAGGCACACCTGATTTGATCTCCTGTTTTTAATTGTAGAGAACTCTTCTGCCCTCTCATCGGCTCAAGGACTTCTAACAAAAAATGTGATTGGAACCTGATAAATTGGATAAATGAATCAAGATAATATTAAATGGACATCGGTAACTTCCTGGACTTTGGACTAGTAGAAGATCACTTTGACATAGGAGTAACATTTTTTTTAGATCTTGGAACTTTTTCTAGGCTTTATTTTTTTAATGTGGACATTCTTTAAATTCATTTTTGAGAAACTGTATATTTGTTTTTGAAAGGACTTGGAAGTTGAGAAGGGCAAAAATGTAGTAAAATGTGAAGCTGTGTTTTATAGCTTTTCCTTTGTACAGAAAAGAAGTTGTACTTTTGCCTCTAGATTACTGTGGAGGAGGATTTTAACACAGGTGATAAAAGGAAATGCATTTTTGTATGTATTTTTTCAGTAACAATGTAACTGAATTTGATCTCTTAGGATGTAGGGAGAGTACAACCACCTTTTCTGTAGATTACTGTAACTTTTTAGTAAATGTAACTGTAAACCTGTTTGCATTTCTGTAAAAGTTTTAGTATCATTAGTAACTCCTTTCAAGCATAACATCATTTAAATGTATCCCTTCATTTTAGTGCTTACAGTGTTGTAGGGGCTGAATGCAAATCTAATTGGCAAGAGACGTCTTAGAGGAACTTATTTATTAGTAATATGCGTGGAAAATAAAAACTGCATCAATATAATTTGCTACTAAAATACTTTTTTGGGTCAAGGTTATGAGAAGTAGTCTAAATTCCAACTTGAGCAGTCTTTTTTAAAAAAGCGAGGTCTTTCAATACAACTTTAGGTGATTATCTTTTGAATATTCATGTAGAGAAGTATTCTCAAAAGCGTTGAAAATTCCGTATGAAGTTTTATTCTTGTATGAAGAGGGCATTGCTGCATTTTCTGCTACAATTTCATCTTCTAAGGTGAGATTTACTACTTTCATGCATCTGAATATTTTCCTCAGTGGAAGCATGCTGAAACGCTCTATATTGTGTAACCTAGTCGAGCAGGAATCTGACTTCACTACTACCAATAAAGAGTGATAAGCAACAATGTTTTTAAAGTGAATGTATACATTTTTGGTGTGCTTAAATCTGCAGCATACAGATGTTCAGTCTTACTGCTTGGTACAAAACCGCAATAAATCATACTACTTATTCTTAAAGTGCTACTTATAAAAAGCTGAGAACATTAGTTAATAGTATGTTTTTACTCTAGGTACAGTTATTGTGTAGCCTATAGCCTTGGGGAAGCTTTACTTTCTGTGAACTTTGGGACAAACATGGTAATTTGTAGCCAAGTAATAGTGTGTTTTTCTGTTAAGATTAATGTTTGGATTTTTTCCTTTAAATCTGCTTTTTTTTTTAGTAATCTAATAGCTAAACTTGTGTCCATTTATAGAAAACTGTAACATAGGACATTCATTTTTGGTGTCAAAATACAGAAAAATAAAAATTACTTTAATGTGTGTGGATTTTCCTTATCAAAATAAATGCATTGCTGAAAAGCAGCAAGGCAACTGAACTATCAGTGGTGTCATTTTGTGCTACTACAATCTGACATGTTTTTAAAAAAAAAAAATCTGGTAAAAGCAGAGCAGTTCATGTCAACAGTTGGTGGGATGAATATTCATCATACTTGCACTATAATAATAGTTTTACACCATAATCCTTTAGCCTATGTTAGGCCTTTAATTGGGTTGGGGAGAGGAGCTCATCTTGATTTGCTTTTCAGTGCTTAAGGAACTTCCTTTTCACTTTAGATTATTTTCACTCTACTGTGCTATGTGTTTTAACATGAAATATATCTTTCTCTTCTAGTTACATGAAATACTTTCACTTGACCTTCAGGGATACTATTAGCATCATAAAAACAAAGCCCAAACTGAACTGCAATGCAATTAAATGTCATCATTCTTTCATTTATGCACTGTTTTGGAGAATCTCCAAAAGAAAACTCTCAACTTCAGTGTTCCTTCACAGAAGGTAAAACCTTTTCTATCTAAGTCCTCAAAGTAACCTACCTGTAGCTCAGCTGTAGTTGCAAGACAATGCATCTTATGAATGAGCTGCTTATACTTGAGGCATTTAATGCTGAGAGAGCCCTGAGAGTCATCTCTTCCTTCTTTATTTCCTTGCTTCTTTCTTCCCCCAGCCCCAAATACAGATTTATCAGCATTCCTAAAGCTATCCATGTTATTCTAAGAGTAATACATGTAGTAATAGTGCTGCTAGCTGATCAGTTGCATGTGCTTAAAGCTCTCTAAATACTGCTGTGTAAGGTACACTGGAGTGTACTGTAGTCTTTGCATCAAACTGCTGAAGCAATAGGAACTGGTGTTCCATTTTCTTTAAAAATAATCTTTTGTTCCACTAGTTTATCTTGGTGTCTAGACAGAGCCAGGTTCAACTTTCAGAACCACTCACAACAATGAGCAATTTTATGGACCTGGTATTGGTATCCAGATTACAGTTGAAAAAATTGGTTGAGTTCTGATGCAGTAAATATTGCATGAGTCTCTTGTAGGGTAAGGGCTACAAAAATTAGGAAAAAGGCCTGCCTAAATTAATAGACATGACAGTGGTGTTTGAGTTTGGTGGGTTTTGCTCTTGTGGTTAGTCACACTGCATAGAATGCTGTGCTGAAAACATGGCAGATCTTGATTTGCTTTACTGAATTAGAGCTTTCTAAGGTGGAGCTTGTGCATTTCCCTTTCAATTGTATACTAATCGTTTAACGTCAACTGAGTCTCAGGTGTCTGGTATCTTGCCTGCTGTGAATCACTAGAGGGTATCACTTGCAGTGTTGAGACTTAATTTTGTGCCACCTGATCCATGGTAAGGCTGTGAGAGCTTACCTGGTATCCGAGACTCTCAAGGAGCACCTTAAATGTAAATTGTGTGTTTTGAACCTTCATTGGTATTTAAGTAGGAAATGGTGTGAAGGATCTTTTTTCTTCTTTATGTTTACTTGGCTAGCAGTGTGCTCAGTACTGTACTATGGAATGCTTTCAGGTGCCTCCTAGGTTTGATCTCTGTGTGTGTTGGCTTGTTGTGGCACAACTGACAAAAATCTTCATGGTATGAAAATCCTCAGTTCCTGCAAGTTACCTTCTCAGGTGGTTCTGTGGACAGAATATCTTTTTAAAAAAGTGTTAACTGGTTTGTGCAGAGTTACATCAGAAAAGCTGAGTACAAAAAGAATGCCTTTAAGAGGTTTCCGAAAGCAGCCTCATCAGCAGAAAAAAAATATAGTTGTAAATGAAACAGGTAAAATTATGCAGCATGTCTTGTGCACAGTATATTGGCTTGCTCTGACATGGCTGAAGTTGCATATGGGGCTGAAAAGCTTTAACTATCCGATCAAAATAGATAGGGGTGGGTTGTGACATGTAATTTTATATTTTGTGTTCACAAACTTAGGCATTCCAGCAAACCTTTCATTGTCTGTTAATATATCTCTTACTGTCTGTGTGGTAAATTTACCTATGTTTGTCTAAAACTTTCCTATGACACCTGCTTTTCCTCAGGGAGTATACACAGGCTGCTTTGCAGCAATGCAACAGCAAGCGACATCAGATTTAAGCGTGTGTGTTCGTACAGTGTAGGGTATACAGGTTAATTGAACTTGCAAAATAGTTCTAAGGTGGCATATATGCCTATAAATAGAATGTACATATTGATAGCGAAAAGAATAATTCCTCACGTTTTCTATCCCACCTCACTTCGACACTCTTTGTCAGCATTGGCAGTTTGTGGTTAAGAAGTGTATCTGCACTGCCTTCTTGATTTGTTATTTAGGAAAAAATGTGAAATTCTTATGGAGGAAAACCAAGTAGTGTCTGGGGTGAATTGAGATTAGGAAAGATCATAGGAGATTTATGGCAGTGACTGTTAAAGAACAGGAGAGGTTTCACTACTTCCTGCCTTCAAAGGATGTGTCTGCTGTTGTTCAACCTGGCTAGTTTGGATCCTGTGGAAGGAGGTGCTGCAGTGTTAAGGCTTCCCCTTGGGCTGTGAAACCTATTTACAGCTTAATCTGTTACGGATCCTGTAGAACCATAGTCTAGTAGTTCTGGCTTTGATACAATGACTCAGTACGTAAAGTAGATGCTTTCAGCTGGAGCATATGCTGCTTGTGCTAACCTGACTATCAGAGGTGGGGATGGTTGTTTCACTATCTCATCGCATGTTTTAGAAAACAGTCACCTGGAGAACAAGCTTATAAGAGCTTTGATTTTTACTTACAGGCTTCACCAAAACCTTAGAACTGTGGAGAGTTACTGTAAGGCAGGAACTAGCCTACAATTTCTTGATTTTGTGCTGTTTAGGGTGTGGGAATGTGTGTTGGTTGTTAGTAACAGAAGAGATGTAATTATGAAAACTTTGGAGTTGCCAAGCTGACGTATTCCTACGCTCCCAAAATTTGAAAAGCTGCTGGTTAAAAAGATGGGTTTACTTTACAATAACTTTTTGCTGTGAAGCTGACAGAGGTAGACACCAAAAGGTAACATCTTTCAAGTCTTCATGTATTAATACCTTCAGTGTGTGTCAGAAATCAGATTAATGTAGATGGTTCGAATTACAGGCTATTGCTGTTCTTCCACAGATGGGAAAAAATTAAGAGGCTTTGTATGTTAGGAACATACATTATCCCTGTATTTTCACAGGGATAGGTTAGAGAGGTGTTTAATAGTACTTGATAATAGTACAGCTGTTAGAAGTTAATTGTCAGCTAAAACCAAAGAAACAGACTGTTCTACAGACTGTGACTCGTAAGGGTTGTGCACACAAATTGTCATTAGATGTATATAAATAAATATAGTCACGTATGTCCTTCATAATTCTAAGGAGCAGAGGTTTTCTGTGTGTTAAAAATCAGAAAAGTCTGTAAGAGTTGCAATAATTTATATGTGATTTCAAGGTAAGAGCCCAAGTCCAGTCATGTTTAGAGGTTATTAGCTAACTAGAAACAAGTATCAGTGTTTGGCTTTTAGATAAAACATTCCTACCAACAACTGTTTAGGTGTGAGTGAGTAGAGCAGAACAAGGAATGGCAAAATGAACGATTCTGGCCTGTCTTCATGGCTGCCAGTGGCAGAAGCAACCAGCACTTCAGCCTCTCCGATGTGAAAGTATTTAAAGAATGTAGGTTTTGGCTGACCTTTTCCTACTTGGCAATGGAGTCTAGTTTACCTAAGCGGGGCTCGGCCACCCTAGATATCTGTGACAGGGCTGTTAGCACGTGTCATTGACGTCGTTTTTGCCTGTGGTTGCATCTGCCTGGATCAACTTCGTTGTGAAACACAGCAAGTAGAGCCACATCCTAAGGCTGGTGCAGCAGGGGGTCTTTGGGGGAAGTGGGACAGGAGCTGCTGAGCCAGACGGAAGGGGTGGCTCTTGTGCCGCTCCGCAGGTGCGTCGTCAGTGGCACTGTGGCTCCGTGGCCAGAAGTCACAGCTGGGATATTGGGTACGTGCCTCCGCTGCCTGTGCTTAGGGTGTTACAGAGCACTGCACTGGAAGGGGTACGATTGCAATGGTGAAAATTTGAAGTTCTGGCCTGTTGAGTAACTGGAGAGCTGAACTGTGCTGTGCCGGTTTTGTACTGTGCAAATCCACCAAAATGAGTGAAATCGCACGGTTATTGGGAGAGGCCCAGTGTAAGGCAGTTAAGGCCAAGCGTGGGTGCTGTGTTAAATAACATTCTACTTTTAACAAACTAGCAATTCTTCTGCAAGCTGCGGCAGCTGTTGTAGCAGGGCTGTGTCGCCGTGCCGCTGTGCCTTGCAAGCTTGCCCTCCCAAGGTGAACCGCAGCTGCAGAGGCTGCAGCCAGCGGGTTTGGCCTTAAATTCACGCTTGGTCTTGAACCACGGTGCAGCCGGAGCCTGGCCAGGGGGCTGCACCTTCTGCTGCATGACTCGATTAGGGAGCATTATTGGATGCTCACTACCGGAACTGGAGTTCAGGGCACTACTAGGGTGTCCTTAACATCAGAAAACAGTGTGATTCCAAGTACAACCGCTGCAGGGTGCGAAGGCAGACTAGCCTGCTGCTGCCGCAGGAGTGAGGGGCGTGTGGGGCAGGAGCTGGGGAGCGCGTCTGGGTTGACGTTGTCCTGCGCTGTAACAGCTGCCTGGAGGCTGTGGGAATCGCACAGACGAAGGAAGGACCCGCGGCTCAGGCGCGGTGTGCCCTGATCCACCCACCCCGGCTACCCACGAA